TGTGCTTTGTTGGAATTAAACATTTTATATCATAAATTGTTCGTCTAATTTGTTGATGGTTTTTCCCCGCTCACAAGCCTCATTACTCAAGAACAAAGAAAAATAACATAAAAAATCTTTTTTTGTTTTTAGTCAAAATCAGCCATTATGTCACAGAGAACCCCACTTTGGAAGACAAAGAAATTAGTGAGTGAATGAAGAGGGAGACGAGGGAGAGAGAAGTCCGGGAGGACGATGGAACAACAGTCTCAATAAGCAGCAAATTGGATCTCTTCTTCTCTGCTCCCTGGAAGACAATCAGGCCGGTTCTGGTTCTGTGTTTTCATCACCCCGAAGTGCCACATTCAGGAGACGGGTTGTTGAGGCATCTGCCGCGCCACAGAAACAATAGTTTTAGTGAAACCAGACTCCTTTTTTTTTGTTGCCATTACAAGTCATTTTATACCTCTGTGTCTCTGTGTTCCACGGCTAAAATTATTACTGATAACTGAATTACATCCACAGCCTCCTGAGAGGACTTCCCCATCCATCAGTGAAACAGGGACCCTTTTTTCAGCGTGAATTTTTAATTCCCTCCAGCTGTTTAATATTATTAAAGTGCCTGTGACATCAAATTTTTGCAAAAAATATGAATGCGTTTTTGGAAAGAGAACATTGATAACATGTTGCAAAACAAATTTCACGCCATTGATATGAACAGTTGTCGAGATATTTGCATGTGAAGAAACAGGAAATGATGTCAAAGGGGAATGTCTGCATGTAAACAGAGTGATGCTACAATAATTAGTAGGGGTGTAAGAAAATATCGATACACTGAAATATCRCGATATTTCATTTCCCGATACTGTATYGATATTCTAAAGCCCTGTATCGATTTTTTATTAAGGTTTAAAATGTCAACTTTCCTGCCAGCCGTTCATTTTTATGTTATAGTTCAGTCTCTGACCACGAGTTGGCAGCAGTGAGCCAGMCATTTGGCTCCTCTACCTCTTGAGAGCCAGAGAGTAAGAGAGCATTAGCATTGTAAGTAAACATTAGCTTCATGCACCGATAGCTGAATCTGAGCAGAAAAGACCGACACCCTCTGCCTTCTAAGCTGAGGTAAGGTTACAAACAGTTACTTATTTGTCAGAATGTCTGTATTTTAAGACAAAGTAAGTGTCTTGTGCACTCTTTTTTCCAACTGTAGTCAGCTTTCACGTTACGTATAGCGCATGCGTCTATCACCTCGAGCGAGCTCGGCACTCCCCCCGTGACATAAAATCCTGTCTGTTGCTCTCAATGTCCGTCTGATCACATCAAAGTCCATATACTTTATCCTGCTGTGTTCGCTTCAAAAACGCTTTAACTCGTTTAGCTTCTCCATTTATTTACTGTTTATTTTCAGGACCTGCCCTGCTRTTCKACCCACAGTTATACAAATCAGGTTCTGGATGCAGGTCAGCTGATCCCAGAAACTCTGTGCAGCAGCTTCATATCATCTGTTTACTGAACTTTATGACAACATAAAGGCTATTGTTAAGTGTTGGGTGACCATATTGTAAATTAATATTAAAACGAAAAGCTGCAAAAAATATATTTTCAAACTATTTATTGGCAAATTTAGTCTAATAATTGAAAACATGGATGAAATATAAAACAAATAAAATAAAACACATACAAAGCAGAACACAGCTAAATGTATCAAAAGTATGTCTATGTGATATTAGAATTTTCTGAGACAATGAATTTTGGTTTTTAGTTGTTTTTTTTTTTTTCCAGTAAGATGTTTTTATTTAATAGAATTTTTGGACCAAAAATATCACGATATATCGCCTTGCTTACAGTATCGAAATATATCGGGATATATCGTATCGTGACCCATCTGTCATGTATCGTATCGCCAAATTCTTGCCAATACACAGCCCTACTATCAGAGGTGAAGAAGTGTTTAAAAAYGATTGTTTCAATAAACAAAGACCAGGGAGTTTCTTTTCTTAAAGAGTTCCCCTTTGATGTCACTTCCTGTTTCACTTTGCTGAGCCAAATTCAAGAGAAAATATGCCAGTTATGAGACAAAATGGGTAAAATCATTTGTATTGTGCTAATTTTCTTAAATATAAATGTGTTTGTATTTGAAGGATAAGCATGTCACCTGTCCTTTAAGAGCTCATAAACCCTGTTTTTGAACAGTTGTTAAAAAAATTAAACTTTTATGTAAATAAAAAGATRTTAACAGGTCAAAACTGAACAAAATATAATAATTTGGTGCTGAAAGCCAGTGAAATATGAGGAAACAGAGTCGCAGGAGGTCAGGTTATAACATCGTGTACCTTTTTTATTCTTTCTGTAGAAAACAAACCCAACAAAAGCATCCGTGTTATGAAAGGCATACACTTCGTGGAAAGCAAAATAGGATTTCAAATTTCTCTGAATTTCCCTACTGAGAGATAATTAAAGGTTTATTCAGTTATATAAATGTTTATTTTATATCATGTATCACGGTGTAACAACCCTGTTCTGACCCCAAACGTGTCCACGTTTTATTCAGCTAAAAAACTAATTAGTTCATTGATTAATCCGTCAGCTGCTACTTGATACTAATACTTTACAAAAAGTGCACAAAATACGTGTAAAAATAGGCCTATTTCCAAACAAATAAGTTTGTTTTTTCTTRAAATGTGGGAAAAAGATTTAGGCCTCTTTACAAAAAAACAAACCAGACATTGGATAGAATGAAGGAAACAGAAAGATGGAGTCACATTTGTGCCCCTTCAGACTTTTCATTATAAAAAGGGAAGTTAGGTGGRATCTGTGTCATACTGCGATGAATATACACAGCTGTGTAATCATGTAGGAGAACATAAACCAGTTATTTCCTTCAGGGACCTTCAGATCTCCTTTATTGGCGCAGAAATTAGAGAAGTTCTGGTGACACGTTGGCCTAAATGGAAGCAAACGTAAAACAGTTGTCTTGTATTAAATCGGAGTCTGGAGAACAGTGTAATTGTCAGCTTAAACTTGTTCCAGGGCTGCTGCTTGTTAAATTCCACATTTATATTCATTGCCRTCAGATGTCAGTCTGTCTTGTGGGCTGTTACTTACGCAGCGTCCAAGCAGACAGCTGGTGCGGAAATATGGGCTAAGATAGCTTCTTCATCTCCGTCGACAGGTGACGGAGCGTCGGTGTGAGGGCGTGCAGCTGTCGCCTGTTCTCTCCCTGCGGTGGTTCCTCTGCAGAGCGCCGTGCGTGTAGGTGTGAACGAGGGTGGGATGTTTTTGTTTTTTTATCACAGGCTGTCGTGTTCCCACACATTAGCGAGGCTAAAGTCGAGGCGAGGGCAGCGGCTTTGGCAGCGGCATCAGCAGTCACGTTAAGCTTCCGTCTCTGACCTTTCAGCTGGATCCATATGCGCAGGAACACACCAAAGGCAGCATCAGCAATCAGTGTCACGCTCCTGCACAAAGTACAGTACGTCCACCGCATCGCCAATGGAGCCAAGTCTGGGTTCGGTGTCCTGTAACCTTCACCTTCTGTGAACTTTACTTAGACAAGAAAAAAAAAGCACAAAGTCTGGTAAAACTTTGGGCGTTTTTAAAAGAAATAGTGATAATAAATTGATCGACTTTAGAATCATGTTTGGTTGTTTTGAGTAAAATAGAAATCTTTGTTTCTGGTCAATGCTGGCTTTAAAGCAGCTTATTTTAAATACATCTTTGAGGCTCTCTCAGGCTGTGGTGGGCCACATTTGACCCGTAGACCTTGAGATTGACACATGATATAAATACTTTTAAATATTATGTTCTTGTTTGTCAGTATGGCATTATATTACAATGTTACGTTTTATTTGGCGTTCCGCAGGGATGACTGTTTAGAATCTTTTATACTTTTTTTATTTAATTCCTTAAAAATCATTGTTCTCTGATGTTTAATTCAGCATATTTGCTGATTTTGTCTACTTATGCTCTTTTGTTTAGCAATACTGTCTTGTTTTAGTTTTTGCTTAAAATTTCAGCTATGGTTTTTGCTCTACTGAAGTATTAGCCACGGATTGCAGCATGTAGCTTTTTTCAATGGCTTTGCTCATTTTTGCATTTAGCTTTAGATTTGCTACATTAATTTTTTTTTCTTCAACAAATTTAAGCAGTTATTCGGCACTCAGCCGTCACGCTGCATCTTCATAGAAAATGTAATTTCTCTGGTTCAGTTTTTGAGATTTTTTTAATTTATTTGTTTTACCATGAAAAGATCTTTTCAGTTGATTATTTGAACAATGTCATAAATTCATGTGTGAACGGATGAGAGAGAAAAAACTGCCACGTGTCCAAAAAGCCATCTATCTCAGATGATGCAATTTACACACATACCTGTGAAAATATGGAAAATGCAATGAACACAGTCTGATGCACGGACACGTGCAGTTTCTCTGTTTCCCTCTCAGTTTATTACACACACACACACACACACACACACACACACACACACACACACACACACACACACACACACACACACACACACGGAGCCAGCTGTGTGGTGGAAGCAGGTGTCACTCTCAGCTCATTACCTCTGGCAGGGTTGATCACCCTGTTTGGAGAGCAATAAGACACACCTGACTGGAGGAACAGAGGGACCGGGGGGCTGCAGGAGGAAGAGGAGGAGGAGGAGGAGGACATGGGTTTGCAAAGAAGCTAATGAGATAGCTGAACATGAAGTGAGAGAGAGGGAAACACAGCAATGATTTGAAGAATTAATAATTCGAAAAATAAGTTTTACAAAAATACCTGTTTTTGGTGTTTTGAGTGTTTTTATTCGACTTTTAAAYGTCAAACACTGAAAATACGGAAAATACGTGGAGGTTCTCCTCTCCTGCGGCTTTTCTCCGATTCTGTGCATTAACAACTGAAGGTGACTGAAGTGTCTCATTACTGCCTGATTACTCACAACACATTCCTCAAACATATTCTGTGTCGGTGAACCCACAAGATAATTTGTTGTGTTTTTCTTTTCTTCTTGTCAGATTCGACTACAAGGAGATGCTCCACAATTCCACCTTCTGTTTGGTGCCCCGGGGCAGACGGCTGGGCTCCTTTCGCTTCCTGGAGGCGCTGCAGGTAAGAAACGAACGCACACACATGCAAACACACACATATACACACCACTCTGGGATAGCTCTGTGTCTGTTAGAAGTTCCAGGCTTAATGCAAAATTACTGGAAAGAATAATGATTATTACTTTCTCAAACTCTCACTAAGCAATTATTAAAGGATCATTAAATCATTACCACCTTAAATGATCAGACTAATAGAGTAATTATTATAAATATACAAAAGTTTCACTCAGATTAGCAGCTTTTTGGTTCATTTAAACACCTTAATTTTACAAATAAGTACCAACTTTGTGAAAAAAAAGAAGAAAAGAAGCTATTTATCTACTAAAATTTACGCAATTTGAAAAATACTTGCAAACCGTATTTATTCAAGTATAATACGTAAAACTAAATCCATAAAATCATCCATGAAGTTGGGGGGTAGTACTATACTCGGATAAATATTTTTACTTATGTGTTTTAACTGAAATATCGGCTTCAATCACAAAATGCCTGAGTCCTTAAATGAGACCGCGTCATAAAAAGCGGTTGAAACGAGCTTACAGACACTCCTCCGTGCTTCAGAGCGAGATAACAGATCCAGGCAGGTGACATGATGTGAAAAAAAGGGGCAAAAAAGTATTCCTGCACCTTAGTAATGATAGCGAACTAATAACATTAGCGTGTGACCGGGCCGCTCCTCGAACAACAACAAACACATGTTCGTCTGTAATGGCTGCCATCTACCGGTGTTCTGAAAAAGTTTGTATCCCTGAAAAATGTTTCCCCACCACTGGGGGCGCTCGCGAGTAGGAAGTAATCTGCTTTTCCCCCACAAGATGGCCCAAATCTCATGTGAAGTCTCTGACTTTTGTGTTGGCGCCTCCTGGTGGTCTATGTGTAAAATGCCTGAATTCATATGATGCTGCTACAGCTGATATGTATTTGTTGTCAAAATATCTTTTAGTACATATGTTGTTAAAATAAAATGAGTCCAATGATCATTTTACTGATATGTATAAAGACTGCAAAGACTGAAAAATCTTGAAGTCTGTATGAAATTGGAGGTAGTTTGAGGATTAAATTTTTTATGCTTTTTAAGCTCAGGTCGTATTATACATGAGATCGTATTATACACGAATAAATACGGTAATCTATATTTCCTTTTAGGCCTGATGGGTTTGTAGAGCTTTAATAACTAAAGAGGCGCTGCACCTCTTTGATCAAGAACTCTGTTTTAACTCTGCTGAGTCAGCAGATTTACTAACACTGAGCCACAYCAGTGTTCTTTTTTCTTTTTTATATAAATCAGGCTCACTTTATTTTCAATAAAAATCTGATACAGAAAACATAATGATTGCCTAATGACAACAAAAACAATTCTGCACAATAATAAAACAAACACTTTGAATCGAGGACTTAAACACTGTGTGAAATGCCTCATTTGGATTTAAAGATACAGCCTCAAAATGAGTTGATCTGAGATGCGCCTCAGAAAAGGGGGAAAAAGGGTAAAAGCATATCAGTTTCGCTTTATATAGACCCAAACTGAAGGATTTAAAAGCAGGATATGTCCACTTTACAAAGACTAAATTGAAGCATTTTAGACCTAAGATGTTTGGAAATCGGAGAAATGCAGGTTTGTTCTGTCAAACCGCCCAAAGTTTGTGAAGGTTAGGTGTAAACTGCAGGATTAGAGGTGAAAACGCTTCACGGAATAAATGAGCTCCAACAGAAAAGGCCTCTTCTCCGTTCGTCCATTTCTCTAACTGCGCCTCGCTCTTCTGCGTTACCACTGCACTGTCCTTTACCTCTCCTTACCCGGCACTTTGGTCCGCAGAGTGCGCCCACAGAAGTGCGATTATCTCACTATCAGCAGCCACACACACACACACACACACATACACACTGCACTTCACTCAGGAGAGAAATATGCCCCATCCTCTCCTCTCTCCATTTGTCTGACTCACACCATCCATCAGTTTGGTGGAGTGGAGTTGCAGATGGAGGGAGTCTGGAGGTTTCAGAGTCGTTCTGCTTTTTGTTTGTGTGTTCATGTGTGGCTCGTGTGTGAATGTGTGTGCGCAGCAGAGGCCTAAAGCCAGGTTTAACACCTTTATGACCTGGGTGTGACCACGCTGTCATTACATCAGAATCTTACCTCACGCACACACACACACACGCACGCACACACGCACACACACACACACACACACACACACACACACACACACACCTGTTCACTCCAGCTCGGTTCTCATCCCTCCTTTGCCAAAGGTCACATTCAGCCTCAGCATCCCCCCTTTTCTTTTCATCTTTTTTATGACTATGCCTTCACTTTTCTCTTCTTTTTGATCTTCTCTCCTCTGAGGAATAAACTCTCCTGCAGCTAATTTTACAAAAAAAAAGAAGAAAGAAAGAAAGAAAACATGGTCTCACGTCAATTATCAGTCTCGTAGAAGTCAAAGTAAAAGTCATGTGAGTACGTCAGACGTTCTTTTTGTTTAATATTATTGCAACGCCATCAAATCRATCAGGTTTACAGTGGGTAAAATAAGTATTGAACACGTCACCATTTTTCTCAGTAARTATATTACTAGAGGTGCTAATGACATGAAATTTTCACCAGATGTCGGTAACAACCCAAGTGATCCATACATACAAAGAAATCAAACCATAAATGTCCAGAAATGAAGTTATTTGTAATAATGTGGAATGGCACAGCGAAAAAGTATTGAACACACTTACTGAAATTTATCTAATACTTTGTACAAAAGTCTTTGTTGTCAATGACAGCTTCAAGACGCCTCCTGTATGGAGAAACTAGTGGCATGCATTGCTCAGGTGTGATTTTGGCCCATTCTTCTACACAAACAGTCTTCAAATCTTGAAGGTTTCGTGGACCTCTTCTATGAACTCTGATCTTTAGTTCTTTCCATAGATTTTCTGTTGGATTCAGGTCAGGTGATTGGCTGGGCCATTCCAGCAGCTTTAGTTTCTTTCTCTGAAACCAACTGAGAGTTTCCTTGACTTTGTGTTTGGGCTCATTGTCTTGCTGAAATGTCCAGCCACGTTTCATCTTCATCATCCTGGTAGATGGAAGCAGATTTTTATCAAGAATGTCTCTGTACATTTTTCCACTCATCCTTCCTTCAATTATTTGAAGTTTGCCAGTACCATATGCTGAAAAACAGCCCCACACCATGATGTTCCCACCTCCAAACTTCACTGTTGGTATGGTGTTTTTGGGCTGATGTGCAGTGCCATTTGACCTCCAAACATGATGTGTATTCTGGCATCCAAACAGTTCAATGTTGGTCTCATCTGACCAGACTATATTCTCCCAGTATTACACAGGCTTGTTTAAATGTTGTGCAGCAAACTTTAAAGGAGCTTCAACATGCTGTTTCTTCAGCAGTGGAGTCTTGCGTGGTGAGCGTGCATACAGGCCATGGTGGTTCAGTGCATTACTTATTGTTTTCTTTGAAACAATCGTACCTGCTAATTCCAGGTCTTTCTGAAGCTCTCCACAAGTGGTCCTTGGCTCTTGGACAACTCTTCTGATAATTCTTTTCACTCCTCTGTCAGAAATCTTGTGAGGAGCACCTGGTCGTGGTCGGTTTATGGTGAAATAATGTTCTTTCCACTTCTGAATTATGGCCCCAACAGTGCTCACTGGAACCTTCAGAAGTTTAGACATTCTTCTGTAACCGATGCCATCATTATGCTTTGCAACAATAAGGTTGTGAAGGTCTTGAGAGAGCTCTTTACTTTTACCCATCATCAGATGGTTCTTGTGTGATACCTGGCCATCATTTGGGACTGAACCAGCTGATATTAACTTGCACTGACAAGGGGCAGGCTTGCTTTCTAATTACTGAGAGAGTTCAGCTGGTGTCTTGGCTTTCCATGCCTTTTTACACCTCCCTTTCTTCATGTGTTCAATACTTTTTCCCTGTGCCATTCCACATTATTACAAATAACTTCATTTCTGGACATTTATGGTTTGATTTCTTTGTATGTATGGATCACTTGGGTTGTTACCGACATCTGGTGAACATTTCTTGTCATTAGCACCTCTAGTAATATATTTACTGAGAAAAATRGTGACGTGTTCAATACTTATTTTACCCGCTGYATATTAAATATTAAAKTAAAGCTCTTTACTTTCAGTACAAAAAGATGCTCAAAKGAATATCTGCATAATCATCCATCTTAGGTGTTCCRTCTTTCTGTAAAATTCCTGATTGTTCTAAAGTTTGTGTGACTAAGATCTAATCACTGCAGATCCATATAAAACCAATGGTTAATATTTTTAAATGCTCTGTTTTGCAGGTTTAAACCTTCAAAAGCTGCAGCCTTAGAGTAAAGTTGCAATAATCTTTTAAAGGAGGTTTTAATAACTTTTACTCCAGTTGTGTTAAGACAGTGGACAACCTGCAGCACAGAGCTTAAAACTTTTTTTAAAGGTTAATTATCACAAATCAAGCTTAAGTGTTTGTCTCCATTGATCGAAATGTTAGTTCACATCATAAGGTGATTTATTAAAGTGTCTAGTTGTTAAACATGTAAATACAAACAGAAGTATTAGCTGCAGGTTTAAAAGTAAAATACTGTTTTAAAGCAGGTTTTGTGTACAGAACGTGTTGGAGACTAATATTTATGGTTACAGGTGGAAATTGCAGGATTTAATGACATCTACTGTAGTAGCAAAATTGCAGATTACCACCAACTAAGGTCTTTTAGCTGCTCTTTAAKTGGATGCAGKGGTGGGCACAGGTCCCCTAAAGCACTAATAGGTGAACTAATTTCCTGATTAGTGCTTTAGGACTTTTGGTAATTTTAAAATGTAKTAGTGGATTAGCACTTGCTAAATTTATAGGCTAAATTTAGAAGCACTAACTGAGGTCTATAAATGTTATTGATCAAWGTTAATGTYAACAGCTGATGGTGAAAGCTGTCACTCATGTTGTTCAYACGGGTCATTTATCTACKARGTGACAATATATTGTAAGAAAATACGTCCCATCACGTCGGGGTCACCAAAAACTGTAAGAAAATACGTGTTCAATATMGRCTGAAGTCAAGATGAAAACACAATTGTTAAATAAATTGATTTGTGAAAGGAATAAAGTCATACAACACCAGAATTCTGGATCTGAGTGAGGTTTATTGTCACCGGGCTGAGAAGCTAAACCACACTGACTAAAAATCAGGAAGTACATGTTTTTATACACGATTCTTCAATGCCTGAGTTCGCCCCCTAC